TTAATACATTGAAAAGGGGTACATTCTCAAAAAAACATTGGGAACCACTGAACTAGAATACTCATATTGCTGCCAGCCATGGAGCTGCACCATAGAAGTGCAGAAAGTGAGTAATTAGGGAAGAATTTAGTTCAGAAGATACCTTAGACAAATCCTTAGCACTAGTAAAGCAATGAGACAGCTTTTAAAGACATACCAGCATTTTCACAAAGTTATTTTATTGACCTAGGAATAAATACATCATGTTCCTAACAGATTTTGAACCTACCACCTCCTTTTGCCCAGAGCTATTTTTCCACTGAATGCTCTTTCACAGATAAAGGTGCATTAGAAAAAAAATCTCTGCTCCCATCTGAATACTGTGTTTAACCATTAAAACTCAATCACTATTTCTCTTGCACAAAGGCACTGTACAAATGTAGGTTTGGATACCAGTTATTGACAAATCAGAGATTCAGAAAGTTTATGGCTAGCCCATAATTTTATTCTGCCAAGATGTTAATGCTTAGAGTTGCTTAACATGAATTGCTGCCCACATAAATAGGTGATATTTGTAATTGACAGCTACATCCTTATGATAAAAGGCAAACTATTAGTTCAAACTTTTAGTTTATTCAGAGGTCAAGTTTTTGTTGCCAAGGTACATAAAGTACTTTACAAGGAAAGAAGCAAAAGATTAAAACCAAGTCTACGGATTCATGACAAAGTTTGTTATTGTTTTTCTATCTACTGCTTGAAAAGAGATGTATGTATTTACAGCCATTAACTAGCATCAGCTTTACAGCACTCAAAAAGGGAAAATGCTCAATGCTTGGTCCATCTTAATTCAGCTGTATTGGGCATTTGCATTCTAGTGGTCTTTAGTTACCTGATCTATACAACTCCTCCCAACCCAAGTCCCCTGAACTCATGTCTCTCAGCGCACAGGATGGACTCCATCAACTCCAAGAATACAACCATCTCATGTGCTGATGGAATGAAATCCTGCCTACTTAAATGGTCTCAGATCCCAGGCGCCAGCCTAGCCTGTATGAGTATACTGAAATTTTATAGTCTAAAATCTGAGTTGGCCAACTTGGGCCAGCCATGGGTCTTTCAGTGAAGATTAGAAATATCCAAAGAGGTACCCAAGCACCACACAAATTGTTGAATCCACATTTTCTGTGGTAAGAACAGAAGAAATCACAGAAGTTCATTCTTTAATAATGTTTTATACATTATCAAAAGAAACGTAGAATTTTTAGTACCTAACAGAACTAAGACAAATCAGACATCATTAATATCCATAAACATTTTTAAAAATTGTTTGTTCTGTCAGAGTTCTATGGGTGGACATTTCCATAGTTACCTGCATATTTTTATCTTGAAAACACATTCAGCTGCTTATATATGGAAGTGTAGCCACATAAATGTTATAATCTGTTTTAGATGTAACTCCTTTATCAGAGCATTCATGAACAGTTTTGTACTGGTAACCTGGATTACTAGAATAAAGCATCAAATGATAAATTGAGACAGTAACCAACAAGTGTTCCTTCATTGTACTTAATACAAGCAAAAACTAAAAAAACCTTTGATAGTATAGTTCTTAAACTCTCCATCACAATCAACTATTTTTCATCTTAAAATGATGTGCATTAAGCCACTGCATATAGTAATCAATGCTTATTTAAATTCACCAGTTTAAAAAAAAATTGGAAATACTAGCTCTTATAGTCATGAAAAGAATTACCTGCAGGTCATCCATGCTGTAGTTTTCTTCTTAAACACTCTAAATGTAGACACTGGCTTTCTGCCCAAGTGTTTCAAACTCAGTGTTATGGCACCGATTGGGAACTTGCACTTCAGCACGCATAACATGCCTTCACCAAACTATAACCAGCAATACTGTTCAAGCCATTTTTAATGTATCAGTTTATACAGAACCACACTGTGCAAAGCACGTACCTGGCCTTGTGGTTACAGAACCTTTAAGTAGTAGCCACATTTGGAAGATAAATATTTCCTCAAGCACTACATGCCAAGGACAAACGTACACATTCTCCCACTAGACGATTAACTCAAATAAGTTTTGAGTTTCTTCATTTAAATCATTGTTCTGGGTGGGGAGAGAGTGAGACTGGGAATGAAGGGTTCAAGGAGAGAGGACAACTGTGATTAGTGGACACAGCCAAGAAGGAATGCATGTCCCCCCAGATGGGTGACAGTCAAACTCTGAAATACATAATAGATAGCTGTCCCTTTCTCTACCCCTACCACCTGATGGCCCAGTACCCATCTCTGGCCTCTTGCTTACCCTTCTGAGGTCATTCTGTAGTCTCTCCCTTTCCATTTTATGAGGAAAAAAATGGAATTCTACTCACATCCCATATCCTGGCACAACCAAATCCTGACCTTGCTTTAAATTAGGATATGAGGAAGCTGCATACCAAATATGGTGGTCCTAGCTCTTACTGCTTAGGAGGAGTCAGACAGACAGATTTCTAAAATATACAGTATGATTGGGTACTGTTTCTCTACTTCCAGAAACTTTCTTGGGAACTGGACTTCAAAGCTCAGGGAGGAAAGAAAGTCAGCCTGGCTATAGCCCAAGAAATACCTGCAATATCTTAAAAATTGTAATACCTGACCTTCAAATGGAGGTGTAGGGGGAAGGAAGTAGAAAAATATAGTTCCACTAAGATCCATACAGAGTCCTCTGGCACATCTGTTGCAGAGGCAGCAAATGGGAGAATTTTGCCTGTGTTTAAAGTCAGTCTTACCAAGAACAGACTTGGACATGAACTGTACGCCCTCTCCCTCTTCCCCTCCTCCCCCGATGTTTGAACTGCATTATATCCCAAGAGTATAAGTCTCCTTCCCAATTTAAGATTTTCACTTATAATGAAGACAATGCAAGTCTTTCCTGTGTGAATGGTTTAACCGATTGGCTTGCTAAGAACACAAGGTAGAACAAACAGGGCAGTTCAAGAATTCTTTGATAGATTTTGCAGACTCTTGACATCCTGAGTTACTACTGGAAAGGAAAGGAAAGTGTGATAACTGGGGATTGTTTAAGAACATTTTACTATTTGCTCCACAAGACAGACCTACAAAACTACAAAGAAGGACACACTGGTTAAAAAAAGCTTAACAAATAAAAGCAACTAAAAAAATAACAGATGGACAAAAATGGGAGTTGACAGTAGTGACTAAAAAGCTAGGAACTGAAGAAAATTGAAGTAATCAAAAGGACACAAGGAGAAACCCATGTCTTTCCACTAACTCTTGCAACATAGGGAAGTTCCAGGAAGCTAAATACATCGTGCCAGTATTTAAAAGGGGAAAACAGAATGAACCAAGTAATTGATGGTGTGTTAGCCTGGTATCCTGGACAAAATGGAGCAGGTGGCATGGAACTCTATTAATAAAGAATTTAATATCAATCAATACTGTTTGTGGGAGGAAGATCCTGTCAAACTAATTTGATTTTTATGGGAGTACAGGTACCTTGATAAAGGTAATTTGGGGCTGATAAAGAGAAGAGTGTTGATGTAATATAGACTTCTGTAAGGCATTTGAATTGATGACACAACATTTTCATTAACCAAATAAAGAACACAACAGGAACAGCACACATTAAATGGATTAAAAACTGACTTGTCTGAAAACGTAACCATAAATAGAGCATCATCATGAAGCAGGTATGTTTCTAGTGGGGTCCCACAGGGATTAGTTCTTGGCCCCATGCTAATTAGCATTTTAAAAAGTTACCTAGAAGAAAACAAAGTGATTGAAAGTTTGCAGATGACAAAGATTGGATAAATAATAAAGAGAACAAGTACAGAACAATCTGGATGCAAACAATGTGTTTTAATGTAACCAAAAGCAAGACTATGAACAAAGAACATAGGCCACACTGAAAGAATGCAGGACTCCTGACTCAAAGACTTGGGGGGATATGATGAACAGCAGAATGGAAGCCCCAAGTGTGATGTGGCCAAAAGGGCTACCTGTATCCTAAGTGTGTGTGGAGAGAAAGAAACAGGGGAATATCCAGGAGGAGGAGGTTATATTAAGTCTGTACTTGGCACTAGTGAGACTGCTGCTGGGATATTATATAGTAAACTTCCGATAATCCGGCACCTTTGGGACCCAGGGGGTGCCGGATTATCAGATATGCCGGACTATCAGAAGGGGGGCTATGAGGGGTCTGGGGTGTAAGTGTGTGTGGAGAGAAAGAAACAGGGGAATATCCAGGAGGAGGAGGTTATATTAAGTCTGTACTTGGCACTAGTGAGACTGCTGCTGGGATATTATATAGTAAACTTCCGATAATCCGGCACCTTTGGGACCCAGGGGGTGCCGGATTATCAGATATGCCGGACTATCAGAAGGGGGGCTATGAGGGGTCTGGGGTGGGGGGGTGCCACCCCA